AAGGGGTATTTTGGTGTATTTACCAGTCTAGAAATGCCGCTAGATAAGTTGCATTAAGTTGTATGAGTATACATAAGCACTGGTCATACACTGCTCAATCTGGGAAAGTGACAAGTAATGCAAGTAATACTCTGCTCAATGAAATATGACAGGTAACACACTGCTCAATTAAAACAGTAGCAGTAGAGCTGTACACTTCTTAATTAGTAAATATCAATTAAAAGTCTACGGGCCGTATAATAAAGGTATAGAACATGATATCACACAGAATACAAGCACTGAAACTATTCTCTGTATAAAAATTAAATCAATCAAATTATTATTATTAGCTAGAAGTATATAACACAAAATATCAGCATAAATACTTAATTAGCTAAATTATTGTAAGCCAGAATTATATAATTATACAACACATTAGGGGGAAAACTTGATTAATTAAATTTTTGTAAGCTAGAAATACATTACACAAGATACTAGCACTTACTGATATATAAACACTCACAGATATAAGTATGGTAAAATGTATAAAAACAGGAAAATATACAAGATACGATCACTGAATCAAATATGACTGAATTAAATATGACAAATACTCTGCTCAATCAAATATGACAGGTAACACACTGCTCAATTAATAAAGTAGCAGTAGCGCTGACAACTGCTTAATTAGTAAAGATCAATGAATAAGTCTATGGGCCGCATAATAAAGGTATAGAACATGATATGACACAGAATACAAGCGCTGAAACTATTCTCTGTATAAAAACTAAATCAATTAAATTATTATTATTAGCTAGAAGTATATAACACAAAAATCAGCATAAATACTTAATTAGTTAAATTATTGTAAGCCATAATTATATAATTATACAATGCACATCAAGGGGAAAAAAACTTATTAATTAATTAATTATATTATTATTATTATTTAAGAAAATAAAAAAACCAGATACTAGCACTTACTGATATATAAACACTCACAAATATAAGTATAGTTAAATGTATAAAACAGGAAAATATACAAGATACGATCACTGAAACGAATCCTTGCAAAACTGCTAATATTTAGGAGGGTGGTATACAGGATTAAGGAATGAATACGCAGCTAATTTACCAGCTCCTAATTGAATGCACAAAATCATAAGTTTTAAACAGCTATTATTACCCTGATGCTATTTAGGTGACTGCTAGTGTGTAAATGTAATGCAATCTTAATTATTGCTCGTAGGATTATCGGATATTTTGTTTACCAGATAATTAAAACAATCCTACCTTGATTGCAGGGCTTCTTCTGCGCTTCCTTTGTTCTCAATATGCCCAGGATAACTTAAGTTTTTTTAAAGAATTAATGAAAGAATTAATTATGGGCTTAACAAATGAAGTTAGGATGAATATCAGTAACAGATTAAAGCATACACGGTTCAGTGATGAAAATGTCGTCCAGAAAAGTTGCAAAGTCCTTCGAGCCAGCAGGATAAAAAATGGTAGAACATAATAATTAGCATGCAAAAATTTAGTAAATGCAAGACCCAGTGTGCAATATTAAAAGAAAATATGATTACAATCATAGAATAATTTAAGTAAAAGTACAAGTTAAAAAAAAGTAACAGTAATATACAGTACTATACAATACAAAATCATGCCATACAGAAGGTAGCCAAGGTGCAGGTCAGCTTAATCAAGAATGTCACTAAGAATGGCCATAGGCCTTTTGATGTTACATTGATCCTTTACATCATAATCATAAATTTTAATTGCAGGGTTATTAATGGACTCTAGGTCTTTATGAAATTTCTTAGCAAGGCGAAAGTAAAAGGTTCTAATATGGTCAATTTTCAGTTCAGCAAGCAGTCTGCGTTTTCGAACGTACCATGGGACATCAGTAATTTGTCTCAAAACCCCGTTCTTTGCAGTTTTTTCTTAAGAATCTTTTAGAATAAGCCCAAACAGGGCAAACATAACACAATATTAGTCGTAGAAGAGTAATGAGTAACTTGTTGTGTATAGAATGAATGCTGTTTCGAGCTGTTAAGGGGGAAAGTGTATGTTTACGTACTCGAAACTTTCTGATAATAGATGTAATGTGTGGGGCCTATGAGAGAGTTTTACTGAGGATCACCCCAAGATAAAGGACTTGCCTGGACCAGAGAAATGATACTCTGTAGAACTGTAGGTTTTTGTTGAATTTCTTCTTTTTTGTGAACAGGATTGCCAGAGTTTTTTCCACGTTAACCTTACTTTTCCATCTGATGAGCCATGTCTCTAATGCATGCATGTGTTTTTGTAGCCGTTGTACAGCTAGACTCACAAATGCATTTTGTGTAAGAATCACAGTGTCATCAGCATACATTATGAGTGTTGTGTTGTACAGATCGGGTATGTCGTTCACATATATATTAAAAAGTAAAGGTCCAAAAAGACTTCCCTGTGGGTCACCTGCAAGGATAGGCTCAGGTGTAGTTCCTGTGACGTGAGCAAGAAATGTCTACCTATCAGGTAGGATTTAATTATGTGTATAATGTACTCTGAGCCTCTGGATTCGTAACTGTATCGATTTTATTTCTTTTCTCTTTTTCCTCAAGAGCTAAGAAGATGTACCATCATGAGTGCTAAAAAAATTTTCTGAATGCCAAGGCTCCTCATTTTCCGAACTTTAACCCTGCAACTTCTAGTTTCAGAGATTTTTGAAAGATGGTGTCTATGGAGGAAGCATATGGATTCTGTATGAATTAAAAGCAAGTATAACATGACTAGTTTAAAAAAAAAAACACTCCACTACTGTTGATGTACATGCTACAAGATGCTTTGAACATAAGATTGACATAAATGGAATATACATTCAACAAACGATGTGATTAAAAAGGTTTTCCATTTCAAATTTGCATTTCTTATTCTTTATGCACCCCCTTTCTCCTGGTGGTTGAAATTTGAACTATTCATTTTAATTGCAGTTTTCTTTTCCCCATGGGCTATAAAACATGCGAATACATAGAAAATTTCAACAAAATACGTCAGTCATAATGGGCTCGACATAGGTCTGAGTACGGTCACTTTAATTGTAGCCACCCCGTATCTTTTTGAGGAATCTTGGAGGTGAAGAACTGTCTATCTATTACAAGCAAAATGATGATGGGAATGGCATATTAGCTGATGGCCTTTAAAAAGTCTTTTTCTTAAGGAAAATATTCAACCCTTTGACAACGGGTGCAAAATTCATTAAAAAAACATAACTTTTCTTCCTGGGAAATTGATCACACTTGAAATCCATTTCTGTCGATGTGATAAAAGTATTCCCCGAGTATATTCAGGATAAAACGTGAACTTGTTATTCATGGATCCCGCGTTTGCATGGTTAAAAATTATGAAATTAGAGGCATGTTTAGGCACAGTTAAGGCGAGATTATCCAATTTCGGATGTTAAAAAAGTATAAATAATGCTAACAATATGTATGCTTTTTAAAAGTATTCCCACTTTCTTATTTAAATAGCAGTCTGAATACATCTTGTAATCCATGAGATAAATCTCTTATGAAACTTTGATTTTATAAAGTCATCACTTCATTTATAGCAATTATTGAAATTAAAACAACATAAACAATTCGACTGCAGTGTGCTTCAAACTTTTAAACTTATATATGAATTTGACTTTTAAATATTGCTTTAATATTAAATTATGATTTTCCTTAAGAACATGATGCAAAGCTTTTCCATGTAGAAGTACTCAAATATACATAAATATTAGTGTAGTCTAACACGATGCTGCTTCAATCGATCAAGATCACAGTAATTGGAATTTGGGTATTCTTTTATTAATAGGCAGCAGCCAAAATTTGCGCAAGCGCCAAAAACAATATTATACTGCAAGCTGCACAAATTTTTATGCCTCAATATATTTTGATCCAAACACTGTCTTTAGTGAGAGATTTTGATAACGGAACCAGGATGCATTTTATTATTTGGCAGTTGCTAAATAATGAAGAATCTGCCATGAAATTTCTTCAATAAAAGAAATTATCCATAGAGAAAGACTGTTTTTAAATAACCACTTAATATTTCCAAGTAGCAAGGCATCTTGAATTGTTAGGATTAGTCATTACTAGTTCATGCTTGATACGCTTAATGGATGCTTTATATGGCTCAGTGTAGTGCCGTAAGTTAGGTAATACATAATGCTACTAATTGCATATGGCACAGTCCAGATCAATTTTCATCCAAGAGGCAAGATGTCTCTTTTCTCTTGATCACTAGTCTTGAGAATAAGATAAAGAATAGCCCCCTTATAGACTTGCTTCAAGATAACTGGGAAGCATTACATAAAGCAACAGAAACCCAGTTTCTTCACTACCATCACAAAGTATGACACTAAGAGACCCATCCATATAAAGTGATGTGAAGGAGAACTATTTCAGACTACATTTTGCGTCAACATTTATGTTTAGCGACAACTTATTCTGCATTATAAGAAAAGTACCAGAAACTTTGATTACAACCAGAACTACATTTTCATCACATCAGAATGGCAAGCTATAAATAACATTACGATTTTCCTGCAAGTATTAGTGAGGAGGGTAGACAAATTTAGAATACTGTAACCGTGCACCTGATTAAAAAGTACTAACTACAACTTGAGAAGTGGACTCAAAATAAAACACCCCTAAGTTTTTAGTTAAACTACTGTAAACAGAGAGTTGAAAAATATAAAAAATAATTCTTATATGCTTTAATCTCTATTTTCTCTTTATATAAAATTAAAATGCATATAATACATTAATTCTCTACCCCCAAAAATGTCAAAAAGGAGAAATCAACTACTTTTATGTGCTGCCATTTTTAACTCCTTTATTTTTTCGCGAGCCTAATGGTTTTGTTTTTAAGATCAGTGATCTGAAATGCAAAAATATATGCACAACTTCAGGTCACAAGCTATGTGCACTTTTGATTTTCGACTGCATTTTAAAAACACAACACAACTTAATGCATAAAAAATATTTATAGTACGCTTTCTAAGAAATGCAGAATATTTCCATTTATTATACAAATATAAAAATGACATATACTGTGTCTTTTTCACCACAGTATTGTAAGTTTTCAAGTTATGATTTAAACTTTCAATGCAGATGTAAAATATAGCACAATATCAAAAATGGTTTATTCTAATATTACATGATATGAAAGTAATTCCATTTGCTTTGAACTTTTAGGTAAGAAATAAAAATTTTTTAAGAATATGTCAAAAAAGAAAACAAACATATCATTTATCAAAAAATTAACAATTACTGAACAAATAAATTTATTAATATTTTTTTTTCTGTTCATTGCTAGAAAAATTAGTTCTAGGCAGCAACAGAAGCTAGATAGTTTTTCCTTGCAGGATGATCATCAGCAGGTCGATTAATAGCTGTCCAAACTGGTGCTCCACAAAAAAGCCTTTTTACTTTAGCATAATTCTACAACAGAATGATGAATAAATTAACACCTTGAAATGTGACATCATATTCTTTATATATATATATATATATAAAGATAGAGAAACAAAAGAGATTTCTTTAAACTAGTCCTTGTAAAAGAAAACAAATTCAATTTACCTTACAAATAATAATCAATATAATTTAACAAAATATTCTGTTTCATGTATTTGAGAACAGCAGGTCAAATTTTTACACAGTTTGTCTGTTCTCGAACATAAAATTAAAAAAGACAAAGCTTAATTTTCATGCATAATATCAAAATAATAGTTAGTAGACTGGCTTTTCAAAAAGATGATATACTTACTTGAGAGTTACAAACCAGTCTGAGAACACAATATGCACTTCTTTTTACTAAAACATTTTCATGTTAGTAAATTATATTACAACCTTAATTCAGAGTTCTCAACAGCTCCAACTAATAACAGAAATAGCACTAAAAGCTGTATCTATACTATTCAAATAATATATAGAAAGATTTTGCAGATAAAAAATTAAATCTAATTGTTCTTATGGTTAACTGCTAGTAATCCTTATAACACTGAAACAGTACGCAGCAAATCTGGCTTATAATGAACCCTAACCTTAACAAATGAGCTTTTTTGTCCGTCCAATTTTGTACACATTTCATGTTATTTTATACAGCTATCAATGAACTTTCAAATGGGTAAAAACCAGAAATAATGAACTTTATACATATCTTGAAATGAAAATTATTCGTACGTTCAAGCTTTTCGCCAGCATTTCTTCAATTTTGAAGTGAAAAATTACTAACTGTCAAATTCATCCTATTTAGAGTATTAGAATAATGAAAAACAACTTTAGATGTTTGCTCTTTTACATTCTTGATATCTTTCTTTGTGTTCTAAACAAAATGCTACAGCAGGATGGTGTAGCATTCAAATCTTGGAGCACCAGGACACAGAATAAACATATCTCAGGAGACTGCACATATTGAGCCAAAGAACCATTGATGCATTATGGCAAAAAGCTTAAATACACTAATTGAATTTGAGTTCTTTCAGCTGTCACACAGCATTCAATTATATGGAGGTCACTCTGAAATTTTTGAGATACGTGCAGACAATAAGTGGCAGGAAAAAATTAATGATTAGATTGTAAAATATGAACTATTTTAAAGCCTAGCAGGTGACTTTTTTATTGGCCAATTGCTAGTAGTTTAGCATAGAATAAATTTTAGGCAGAAGGGAAAATGCAGTTGATGCAAGAACATTATTGCATTATGATTTTCTAGGATTTTAAAGTGCTATTAAATCAAAAAGAATGTGCTCAACATCTAGAGTTAGCATTTGGAAATGAAGGTCCATATAATCCTACTGTATTAAAATGGATTACAGAATTTCACAGAGTTTGCAATTTTCTTCAGGATGAAGAACACACAGGAAGGTCGGTATAAACACTAATCCTGGATAACATGTCTGTATGGAAAATGTTAATCGATGATAATTGCTGCATCTACCAAATGATACAGAAGGAACTTTACTTTGGATCTGCTGCCATACATAAAATCCTTCATGAAGAACTGTGAAAAAAATACTTAGCCATTGGGTTCCTCATAATTTACTGAGCACCAAAAAGAACAGCATGTCAGAATTAATAGAGAAACACTTAAATTACTTAAAGATGGTTGCCACGGCATTATTTCTAAAGTTGTAACTGTTGATAAAACATACACACCACTTTTTGACATTCCAACACATTAAGAGAGTAAAGTATAGATCTCTAAACATGATCCCATGCCCACAATGGTGAAAAGACAACAGGTCATGAAAAAAGTAATGTATGCCATTTTCTTCAAAAGTACAGGACTAGTCAAGGTCATCAAACTGGAAGGACAGAAGACAATCACAACTAACTAGTACACCACTGTCTTCCAGAAATTCTTCAAGAAGTGAATGTTAGAGGACTTATGCTCCACCATGACAACGCATCGTCTCATACACTAAGATTAACAGTAAAGTTTTTTGAACAAAAATGCATCAAAGTGATAGAACATCCACCCTATTCGCTCGATCTAGGTATGTGCGACTTTTGGCTATCTTTTAATCTAAAAAAGAACTTACATGGACGTGATTTTCATTTACTTCAAAGATGAGATTGAGCAAGCTATAAATGTAATTTTTTTTATTCTAACAAATGAATGGATTAAGGCATTGAATTTGTAGAAAATTCGCCTATACAGAAGTGCAGTGATGCTGGAGGAAACTGAACTGAACACTCCTAAAATTTCATAACTAAAAAAAAAAAAAAAAACCTTCGTGTATCTAAAAAATTTAATTGTGATCTAGGTATGTCAATCCAAGGAATTTTCTATGTGAATATTTTTCAGTACAGTGATTTCTCACATGGATATTTTTCATTTCAAGCAGGATTTCTTTTTACACTTTTTTTTGTGTGAAATTTTGGTTAGCTAAGTAACATAAAAATCATTTTACTTTTTACTGCAAATGAATATAAATAATTTAAATACACTGCTGGTTAGCCAAAATGCAGCACTCTGAAAAACAAGAGATACGAAAGCTATAAGAGTGAACTGATAAAAATTATAGCCCTATTTGAATTCAGAGCATGATGAAATCAGGATGGCTATTCTACGCTCCGAGAGTCGACAGCAGTTTGTGAGCCGTCCGATACGGAAGTGAGGGGAAAAGTGTTGCCCCATCGTCAATCACGGTTGTTCAATTGATGTTCTAAGTACACAATGGCTTTGTACATGTTTTTGCTGCTAATTTTTTGTATTTAAATGAAGAATGTGGTCATAGATCTCTGAATCGGCAGTGAATTCATAGAAAATATGTTGATGCTTTTGCTCTGCCAGAAGATGTTTTCATTGCCTAATTCAGATTGCCAAAATTTATAGTTATTTTAATTTACGATGAAATGAGCGGGTATTTGGAGCCACATTCAGAAAACAAGAACGCAATTTCTACTGAAAGAAAGGTTATTTATACTTTTCCGGAAATTATGTATATATATATAGCAATTATATAGTTTAAAAATGTAGAAGATTAATAAGTATTTATCTAGCACATAATCTTTCTTCAGGTAATAAAAATATAATAACCCTTCTTCAGTTAATAAAAATATAGACATCCGAGAAGCGTCTTCTCGATTCATGTACAGCAAAAATTAAGTTTATTTTAAAATCTAACAGTGGAATACTTTACGAACAACAATATTGTGAAGACAATAAGAAGTGCCGTTCATTATTACGCGAAATTCACACTGCCGTAAAATAAAAATGAAAAAAAAAAAAAAAAAAAAAAAAATAAAACTATATATAAACTATAAAATTGTTTTATAAAGGGCTATTAATTTCTTTTTTGCCATTTTGTGGCATTTCACGATAAATGGTGTTTCGCTTTTCATATTGTTTCCACCAAATATTATCGCACTGCGTTATATTTAAAGAAATTAAATAATGAAGAATCTGCATAAATGTATGAATGTTTCTCGCAATTTGATAAAACAATGGTACCTAGAGCCATCAAATTTTGAATGATGTAATCTTCCACCCTAACATAGGTATCTGGAAGCCCAAATTCGGAACTGGGAGTTTGTTTTATTATCTATTTCATACTTTGTAAAACATTTATGAGTGATTAAGAAACCCAACGATTTCAAAGCGAGCAATGGTAATACTGTAGCCTGGGGGGGAAGGGGGGAAACATTTTTCATCTATAGTGCGCGAGACTGTGTATCGGAAATTCTATAGATATGCTCTTTTTAAATTATATGATACTGCTGTTGAATTGAATTTTATGGTTTAAGTGCAAAGAGCATGCTATTTAATAAATAAATGTAACATGTAAAACGTTAAAAAACGTCCCTTTGGGAATATAAAATCTGAAGGCTTTCAGATTTTTTTTTTCTGTGTGTGTGTGTAATTTTATTATGACTTAAAACTGGTTTTGAAGAGAGGACTTTCTGAGGAAAACTGGCTCGTATACACATTACAATGGGAAAAGCCACAAAAACACTGATGCGGGCCCCTTATTCACAGGACTCAAACTTAAGTACCTGCATCAAAAGCCCTCGAAATCGATTGAGTGTTTCATTATACCTACACTAAATACAAGGTTGTTTTTACGATTTTGATGGTCACATTAACGTGTTTCTCTTCTAGTCCAGTTTAAGTACCTGCGTTCAGTGACTCTACCGCTGATGGGCTTATTAGCAAAACTATACTGCATTATTATTGTATTATGCTATAAAGTAACAATGCTATATGACTGAAGGTTGTTCATGAAATAGTACTTTTGTAATCTATTAGTATTAAAAAATTATTGTTTCTTTGCCTACTAAATAATAATAATAAAAAAAAACTGTTCATAGCAGAGTTTTCATTTTTATATTGTAAAAGACATATTGATTATTATTACAGTTTTCTATTTAATGTGTCAAAGTGTTAAAATGCTGCTTTGATAAGGATTTCTTCAACTGCAGGAGACCTACATTGATAATTTTTACTTTAGTACTTCCTTGTAAAAATAATATTACTAACTTTTAATTATTTTCACAGAATAAAATCTTTTGAGAAGGAGAATATTTAAAATAAGCAGTTTCTTATATATATAAAATAACAGCAATGTAATTAATAAAAAAAGTATTACTAATATATGTATGACAAAAATTGCAATACGAATTAATCACACATACAGAATAGATTATTATAATTTTCGTTATATATTTTATATTGAAAAAATATTTTCATGGTATCCCACATCTCTGTTTCTTAGCCCTAAATTCCTGCATTAACTTTCCCCTTAAAAAACGACATTTTCCTTAACATAAACACAACAGCATATTCTGCTGCATTTTGGTCATAATACTGTTTTGTGCCACTTTTTTTTCAAGTTACAAATGCAGCCTGTGAGTTAGTGAAATAATGTGAGAATATTCCTAGAACTTCAGGCAGCATGCGCTATAAATTTTGTCATTCGTCTGTACTGCGATTGATCTAAAGCTCCTTGAAGCCTTGTCCCCTTTTAATAGAGTCAAATGGACCCTATCACCCACCAACTGAGGAGGAGAGAATGGCTTTCTACGATAAGTTGGAAATGGCTGACGATACTGTTTTTTTTTTTTTTGGTCAATATTGTTCGCTCAGGATGTAGATAGATCTAGTGATCATAGAATAGGCGTCCAGCATTCTCTGCACCTACCAAGGCAGGCAATAACAGCTACAATATGCCTCAGTGATAATAATAATAATAAAAAAAAGCTTTCTGTGTAAGCTTCAGGTATGTCAGTTTATTCGCTGTGGCTGCAGATGGCATATGTTGAAACATTGGTTTACAAATCATTCACCAGACATGGTTAACAAAATACTGTTTTTTTTTTTTTTTTTTTTTTTTTAAGTGACACACTGGGAGAACAGACAGAAAAGGGTGGGACACCTGAATTTCATCATTAGTTGTATAGTTACACTGCACTAAATCTGTAGTTACATCCAAATTTCAGGAAGGACACCCAGGGGGTTGTCTCCCTCACCCTCTTTTCCTACCATAATCTCTCGAGAGGACTTTCAGCTCACTGTACATTCTGAGTGTTCCTTTGCCACACAGACTCTCAAAGTCATTAACTTCTGTACCAGCTCAGCAGTGGGAGGCCAAGGCAACAGTATGACCTGGTGAGCAACGAAAAATTGTAGAAGATTCAATTCAAGGAATGGCTGCACATTTGAAACTTCACCACAGAAAAGGCTTGAAGGTAAGGGAAGTTCCTTATGTATCACGGACCATACTATATGGTTCACCACTTTCGTGCTCTCCATTTTGGACAGGAGAAGCAAGCTCACAATACAGATTTAATAAATCACAATAGACCGCACCTTCCAGATAAGGATTCCTGGGAATATGCATCAAAATATCTCTCAGACACAACATGAAGAGTGTGGAGCTTGTTGGACAAAAAAAGCAAAAAGCAACAAAAGGACTAGTCGTCACATTACCGTCTCAGATGGCTAATGTCACTGACCTCTGGAACAACATAGGCCTAACTTTTATATAATGGGAACTGGGCCATGCACAATTATGTGCAAAATTAAGAAAATTTACACATTATGTTAAATTTCTAAAAAACTAATTGACAGATTTTAATGAAATTTGGCATGAATATACATTTATAACAAAGAAAGAGATATGCCATTCAAAAAACTGCATGTATACATGATTATCAGTACAGCTCATAGCTCAGGTATGTCGAAAATTCAGAGCATGCAGCATGATGGCATACTGCGTGTGCCTCTCTGGCAAGAGTTAGTTGAAGGATTCCCAGTGGCAGTTGATCCTACTCCTGCAGTGAGACAGTTTTCAAGTCCGGGATGGTCCTCAAAGGGGAATGGTAAAATGAAACTGAACTCCTGAAAGAAAATAAGACATGCTCTATAAGGTTAAGGTCAGGAGGCCTGGCTGGCCAATCCACTGGTGAATATCCTTTCTTTCAGGTAATCATTGGCCAGGTCAGCCCAATGTGGATGAGCAATGTTGTCCAACAATAGGAACCCAGGACAAATTGTGTCCCTGAAAAGTTGAACGTAGCACTCTAAGATTCCCCTCTCTATACTTTCAGGAAACCTTTGCCAAACACATGTATGTGTGTCAACTGTCCAACATAATGTCTGCTCAAACCATTACACCTCCACCACAGTAATGATGTTTTTCCCAGATGACAGAGGGATAGTATTGCATTCCAAGCTCTCTCGCGATACACATGTGGAGAATCAGTGCCCAGGCTGAATATCGACTACGATCCGTACTCCACGGAAATCCGTCCCAGGCGCATGTTGCTTGCACCATGCTAAACACATGGAATGGGATAAAAACAGTGGGTCTTCTGGCAAGCAGTCCTAACTTATTAAGCCTTCAGGCACATGTAGGCTATGAAACTTGGGTTCATTTGGCAGTATACATGCGAGAGTTGTAACAGTTTCGTATTGCCACACTAAAAAAAAAAGCCAAATAATGTTTTTTATTCACCGCTGAGGATCTTGGTCAACCTTGTCCAGGTCTTCTCGATATGGATCCAGTGACCTGAAACTGTTTCCACAAACTGCAGATGATACTAGGTGTATTATTGAGCTCTCTAGCCACTTGTGCTTGCGACTGGCCTGCTCTAATCCAGTGACAATTCTCCACTTCACTATATCATCATACATTCACAGCTACTAATTTCACCCAATACCTTATAAAATTTCCTAAACTCTTGCAAGACACACGATAAATATTGTGAAGGTGTACGGTAAACTCAACCTATTGTTCTCCCTTTTTATAGTGATTGTAGGTCACATTACTGGTGCATACCCACAGCAATGCTGATCATTTGCATATCCTCTTGAGGTCTATGCATGGCACAAATTTCAAGCCTGCTGAATGCTTCCTTCATTGTACTGCACTTTAGACAGCTAGCAGTGTATTTCGCTATGTATATGACAAAATTAATAAAATTACATACCGAAGCATCCAAAGTAAATCTGTGATATATGCCAGCAGGTAACACAAGAAGATCACCTTTACTTGCTTTGATACGAATCCATCTGTCATTCTTATCTCGAACATCAAAATAGCCACTTCCATCCAAAAATAAACGTATTTCTTCATCTGCATGAAGATGCTCAGTGTAGAATACTTTTAGCTAAGAAAATAAAGCATAACACCAATTTTAATACAATTTGATACTGAACTTTTCATCTCGGAATTTCTTTCTTAATGATTATGCAGCACAGAATTATATTTAAAGCTCATACGGTACTATAAATAAATACTATAAATAAAAATTTATGTAGAGGTCAAGAATGTTCCAAATCAAATAATCCAAAAGCACATGACTGGACCAGAATGGTTGTATCAAATATGATATAGGTATGTTCAAATTGGGGGAGAATACTGATATATTTAACTAAACCTATTAACATGACCAATATAAAAAAAGCATTCTTTTAATCAGATGTAATGAAAATAAGATCATTCTTAAAGTTATTTTTACAGGAGAAAAAAAAAATATTCCATAGAAATAAAGTTCAATTAAAATAATTCTAAAACACTGCTCGATATCAATTTGATATAATAATTTATCTCATTTGCATATCCTTATAAAAGCCTAATATATATAGGACCTTATAAAAGTATGAAATTTATAATAATTTAGGTACTATTTCGTTTTGAGGACAATGAAAAAATTGCAGCAAAAATGTATGCGCGAAAGCGCCAAATCTAGCGTACGTGCTGATTTTAGATTGCGTAAGTTTATATAGTTCTATATTTAAGACGGCATTGAAATACTAGTTTAATTTTTAAATCCTTTTTTGATATCCTATGGATTTAACAATTTGGGAATAGCCCGTGACGAAATGTCTGCAATAGAATTTTAAGTAAATTGCAGAATCACCCACTGCTTGACGCGTTTTTAAGAATTGCACATACTCGGTATACATCGACCTATTTTCACTTAAAAAAAATCCCAGAATTGCACAAAAATGGCACTGTGCACACCCTTAACTTTATCTATGAATACATCAACCTATTTTCACTTAAAAAGTAAAAGAAAATTGACGAAAATCCAATTGTTTTTACCCTTATAAAAAGCGGCAAACAAATAAGTGGACGATTTTGCACTTTACCGCGTATTTTTTCATAGGAAAGGCATCATTCATTATAGAAAATTATGTTTGAACAACCAACGAAATGAAATTATGCTTTAGCGATAACTCGGTAGCGAAATAGCGATACAGGCATCTATTCAGTTATGTTTAGCAATTTTTATAAATTTAATAATAAAAAAGTATTATATGAAATTAACATTTCATCTAAATTAAAACATCAATCTTAAATAGTTATTTACTATCATACTTTCTTTCTCGCGTTAGGGTTGCCGCAATTCATTTTGGCAGCACTGGCATCAACAATAGTTTGGCGATTTTTTACAGCCCTCAAAACCGAATAGTAGCATAATTTATTATCATATATTTATTATTTGCTACAATCATGGCAAGATATAAAATTTACCCAAGTTCTTTACTTTTCAGCTGATTATGACACTATCAAATATTTTCAGTTATTAATATATCATAACTAAATGGTTTGGTTAATAACTTATTTTGTCTAATGAAATCACAAATTGATATTGCCTACAGCTAAACAATGGATCTTTTTCCCTAGCTTTACAATAGAATTGCCCATTCCCTCTACAAACCATTCTTAATAATTTTTTATGAGCCTGTTTACAAAAGTAGTCAATATATTTTAATACCTTTCTTAATAATGAATAATATACAAATCTAACGAGAAACACACAACGAAAATGTCAGGCTGCTCTGATGACATGGTGTCATAGCCTTGGGCCCACATTTGAATCTCTGAGAAGGCATAAATGTATGTAAGTGTGTAATATCTTTGTAGCATGGGGTGCTTAAAATACTGTCAAGCTGAAAGTCCTCTTGAGAGGTTGATCGAAGGAAAAGAGGAGTGGGAGACCCTTGAAACCATACTCCGGCGGGAGGGAGGATTTTCTTTCAAAACTAGGATGAAGCTAGGCTCATCCATAGCATCTCCAAAAAGATATCCAAGGTCTAAGCCTTGGATATCTAAAATACAGTCCTTATGCTCTTAGACATGATAAAATTTATGGACTTGATGATCTCATGCTACTGTCAGACCAGCAGGTCACAACAACAGAAAAGACTTTTCTGATGTTATGGTTTATAGTGCTTGTCTACTGCGCACATTCTCTCTTATCTAAGGATAGAAATAGCAAAGTTTAATTTACAAAATTAGAAATGCCAGAGCTCTACAAAAGATCATCAGGAATAGTAAACAAAAATAAATAGTAATTATAAATTAAAATTAAATAAAATGACAAATGTGTGCAGCCCATAGATGCTCTTTTTCCTGAAGTGACTGTATTTCAAATCTTTGTTTCTTCCAACTTGCTCAAACTTATCAGCTTATTTTATTTTTGGGTAAGAAAGCGAGACATATATTCAGTAACTAGTTTCCATATTTGTTTTACTATCTGTTAAAAGAAATGTATTAATGACAGAATTATCAAATACAGTAATAATGGAATCCATTTATACAACAAAAAGCACAGTAAACTCATCTTAGATGGGGCTCCAACTGGAAATACGATTTTGCTCAAAAACTGAAAAGTAACAGACCTGAGCTAAACTGAATTTAAGCTCTGAAAATTAGAGAATAAAGTATACAAATTACTTGCCACTTATTTCCTGCTACCTTTTATAATTCTTCTGGAAAACATCAACAAACTAATAATTTGAATCTGTTCATAATACCAGATTTTGAGAAAGATTCAGCATAAACAAATGGATATTTTTAATGCATATTTAAGAATAAAAATGCAATAAACCGATAGTAGGATAACTAATCAAAATTTAATTTTCATTCTTAATGTCTAAATTAAAAAGTTTGTTGATATCCAGAGTTTTACCAAATCTGTTGCTTACTAACCCCCTTTTAGCTGATCTTTGGAATATGGTAACAGGTAGTTTGGCGACATTTTGGAGGCGATAAAGGTTACTACCTAGGACTTTGGGAATAATGTGAGAAGTACTCAATTCGGATTACGCATTATTTTGTGTGAGGAAAATGAGAGATCATGAGATTGTGTACATTAATGGACGAAACACTGTTCTTTATCGGAAAAGGGGATATATTTGTAAAAAATCTGCTGTAACTTTATAGCAGTAGTTTCATCTATTTTCTGTGAAACAGTTTTGTTTAATATTTGATCCCATGGCCGTATATAAAGTAAATCCGAAATTTTTTATAGTTTTTATGTGTAATTGAAAGAATTGCTTAATTTCAGATAAGTATGAAGTCCAATGTGGGAATGAAATGAGATTGTGTGAAGGAGGGATATTACAGATAGTTTTCAATGGCGGTGCAAGAAACCTGGTGAAAATGGACATTTTGTGATCCCCATGCACTCAGATTCTGTAGAAGATTAGGTAAGTAGTATTTTTAATTATTTGAGGATATTATTTTATGCATTGTTCTAAATGAAGGAGTAAATAATTAATATAGTATTATTGGAAAAATTGTTATTAGCAATGATTTAGTTTAAAGTAATTAGGATTGTAAGCTAATTTTTATTAATTAATATATGTGCTTATTTATATTTTAAGTAGTGTGTTTTTTATTTAATTATATTTTAATTTAATGATAGTGATTTTCCAGAGTTATATGGTTTAGTATTTTGGAATCGTTTGAGTAGAAGTAAATGTGTATGGAAGAATTAAGTATTGACACTAAGTATTTGTAATTATTTTTAATTTTTGTTATAAATTCGTTGTGACGTTTATAATAGATAATTTAGAGGTAAAGTTTTTGGATATTTTATTTATTTTATACGTGCAAATGTCCATCCTGGAAGGGTATATACTTTTTTCACGATCAGGTAATTTCATAATGTCCTTTTTTCGAATTTTAAAGATTCACAAATTTTCATGCATTTTCGTGAAATTTTTCTAATTTATGAGAAAAAGCAGTGTACATGGATATAGTGAAGAGTGTGCGCATGCCATTTGTGTCGATTCTGGGATTTTTTTAAAGTAAAAATAAGTCGACGCGTACATGGTTTAATATATTTTAATTAAATGATAGTTATTTTGTGAATTACTATTTGTAGCAATTTGGTATACGTTTGAGTGGAAGTAAAGTGCATGGAAATAATTTAAATTTTGACACTAAGTATTTGTACCATTTTTAATGTTTTATTATGAATTCGTGGTGACGTTTATAATAGATAATTTAGAGGTAAAAGTTTTTGGATATTTTATTTATTATACGTGGAAATGTTCATCCTTGGATAGGGGTATATACTTTTTCGCGATCAGGTAATTCATATATGTGCTTTTACGGAGTTTAAAATTCACAAAATTTTCCTGCAAATTTTTGTAATTTATGAGAAAATAGCAGTGTAGATGGATAAAGTCAAGAGTGCGCATGCCATTTTTGTGCAATTCTGGATTTTTTTAAGTAAAAATAAGTCGACGTGTATATGGTTACTGCGTGTGTGCGATTTTGAAAAAGCAGCAAGGGTTTGCGATTATGAACTTTTCCCAATTTGCAGTTAATATTTCTCATGATTAGCATTTTGTTCCTAAAATTCTAGCATAGTGTAATTCGGCTAGCAGATTGTTGGAAAAAGTGTTGAGTAAATAAAAAGAAAAGAAACATGTCTTTACTTCGTGAAGCCAAAATGGCAGCGAAAAGAAAAAAATAGGGGGTTGCTGTAGCAGAGTTGGTCGCCAAATTTTCGCCCCAAAATCGCCAAGTTACCATAATCCAAAGATCAACCTTTCTTTCATATAATTACCATATTTTATTTTATATAGTTATAAGATGGCAAAATTAAATAAATATTAGAACGCAGAAGATAAATAAAAACAACAAACCTTTTCATCATAATTTGGCAATTTGTCCTTTGATATTTCAACAAGATCTTCATAATCATATCCTCTATTTTTTCGAAGAGTAGAATATTCATGATCCTGCTCTAAGTTGTCAACATCAATCTAAATTAGAAAAAAAATGAGTACTTATCTATGACACAGCATAATATGTATATTTTAACATTATTTCTAATCCAATAAATTTACTTTTACATTAACAGTCACATTTTATTTTATGGTTCAAAAGATTTTAACACTTACATGATAGTCTCATTTTATTTTTGGTCTTTCTTATATCCGTTCACGAATGCATGGTAAATAACAGAAGCTACAGCAAAATAAATTATAATCAAATCCATATAAAAAGATTCCATTATTTACAATCTCGTGTTCATACTAGGATTAAACTTAAATTTAACTTTCATAATTTATATATTTCTACATTTTCATTGATCTTATACGACGGAAACTACCATTCAGCACACATAATTCGGTAACAATTTATGGCAGTTCTCGAGTTACACGACTGAAAATGTAACACTGAGATAAATTAAGATTATAAATACCTTCCAATACTCTACACCAGACAAAGTTTTCACGTCTTCCAAAGTTAAAAACTCTGGAGGATTTAAATGATGCTCGGATCTCGGGTCATCACTGGAATTATCCATAAACCATGCTTCAGGCATTTTCTATATTAATAAATTAAAAAATCAAAGAAACTTCGGATTTTATAATAATATTCACGGAATTTTGAACACCTTTTAATAAGACACTATCTCTTATCTTAAGCACAAAGTGTAAACAAACGATTACAAAACACGTGACTAACAACCATCATACTTTGGCGCCAGCGATGAATTCCATCATGCGATCACCAGCACATCAGATAGGTCATACATATATAATCTGCAAATAAGGGTCCCTATGAGTGAACTGCACTTATGTTTAAATAGTGTAGGCCCTAGCCTGTGTAAATTTGTATTAAAGAATGTCAGTAACATATCAACAGGAGAAATGAGACAAGAAACACAAACAGCTGGTAAAAGATGCAAGTGCAGAGAAATATGATTCGCCAATACCAGTCACGTGAGAAGTCACCCTCCGACGTTTTGACACACTTGCGCAGACGGTACGGAAGAAGATATGAGAAATGAGAAATTAGTAACAGGGTGATGAAACTATAATATATAAACAGGTAATATGCAGATAAACAGGTAAATATGCAGATAATTCACAGAGAAGTGCGAGAGAAAATGCGACACCAAAAGTTTCTGATTCGCAAACACCAGTCACGTGCGAGATCACCTTCCCAAATACGGACACGGGCAAATGCTGCTGAAAAAACAAGGCTACCAGAAATATATCCAAGCAACAAATTACAGACCGACTTGCTCGTCATATTAAAGAGCGTATGAAATATAGAAACAGCCTCAGGAAAAGATTCCGCATTACCTGGGATCCTCACACTAAGAAGAAATTAACAAGTTGAAGGACATTAAGAAATTAATTGCTACGCACCGTAAGGAACTATGGGAGATAGGCCCGCGCCAAGCCTAGTCGTCGCTGTCGTGCAAATGTCTAGCAAGCGCCTTTATGCAGTGACGATATCAAAGGGATATCGCCTATGGTTAACATTTAAAAGGAAGCATTATTACCATATGAAAAAAAAATATCTTTTAATTTGTCTAAATATGCAAACTTTTTGTGCTTTGTTAAAACCCACACTTAAGCATATTTATTGAAAAATTATACATACACTTATGACATTGACTGCCGTGCTGTAGGGCACGGGTTCGAATCTCGGAGAAGGCATGGATGTTTGAAAATGCATTGTGTCCGTGCGGCAGGGGGCATTCCAAATATGCGAGGCGAAAGTCCTCTCGAAAGGTTGATGGTAGGGAAAGAGGGGTGGGAGGTGCTCGAATACGTCATCCCAGGATGCTCTCCATCAAAATTGGGGGGCAAAACAGAGCTAAATTGCACTGTCACCTGTAAGGTGCTCAAGGCTGTTGCCAACGACAGGAGTATCTTGCGCTCCTTTCCGCAAGGAATGTCGTGCGCTTGAGCTGACTACATCAGACAAGTGAGCATTAGTCAACACCAACAACAACAACATGTTATGCAAACGTAACACTGCAAGCGAAAGGAAATAATATAGTAAACGCATTGGATACCAAATATATTGCTGAACACTATTTACTATCTTAAAATTAAAAACAAATTAATTTAGATATCTAATAAGTTTGCACTGAATAAATTGTTGTTCGCAGCGTAGTTTACGACAAGGTTCAAACTGCGATTACAACAAGGCACAAAAAAATGCTCCAGGGCTAGGGATATATTCAAAATTATTTTTTTACACACCGCTATGTTGTTGACAACAATGTAGCTTAGAGTTTCAATCCGCGATGCTACATTTCTTCCAAAAGTTTTCAAAAACTGCATATATTATATAATGCATAAGATCTATACTACTTATATCGCTTTGATTTTTATCAGTTAATGCTGTTTGCAGTTTTCGGCATAAGTTGAGCCGATCTTGTAAATATATGTGTAGAAACCGCCGAAGACGCGATAGAAAAATTGCTTAGTCCTTATTTTGTGTCTATTGTTGCAATCGTAGTAATATGTGCAACATTTATCTTTTTTTTGTGATTTTTTTTTGGTAATTGCTTGTTGTTATTGTTATTCTACAAAAAAAAGTTAAATGCGGTTACATATTATGTTAAACTTAGGTTAGCTTTTTGATTCTGAAAACGACGATTTCAGCATGACTCGTAAAAGAATTTTTTCTTTTCATGAACCATTTGTTTATTAAACTAAAAATTATTATCTTTCGAGAAGAAAAGGATTGACGTATTTACGAGGTACCACTGAATTTAAAATATACCTATTTAAAATTTGAAGGAGCAAAAATATACAAGGTATTCTGAAATCAAAAATTGGCCATTTTCCGATTTTCAGCAATATGGAAAACCGAAGGAAAATGTTTCGTTATTAAGTTTTACTTTAAGTTAGATTTATTTACTTTAAATAAACAAAAGAGTACTACCACCTCCTTGAATTATTTGCTATTGATCCAATAGTTCGTATATTTTCCAAGCGATGGTTTAAGATACACTCAGTTTTTCAGAAGTAAGGTAAAATATTTGAAACAGTGACTTTCCGAGTGTTCTTAAGAAGAAGTGCTTTATGCAATAGTTCTTATAATAGATATTTTCTACTTTTATTTTTACTTCCGCTTTTTCTGTTTTCACTCTTTCCCAGATATTGGTGGGAAAACAGAAAAACCTGTCTCGGGATCAGAATACAATGAAGAAAAAGAAAGTGAGAGGAAGCCTTAATAAACCAGAACTTTAAAAGTACTTAGTTTTTCCAAAACCCAGAGGCTGACGCTACTAGCATTAGTTGTCCATGAAACGTCTCAGCTACCACTTTAATTGCCAAAAGAACCTAATAATCAGAAAAGTTAGAAAATGTTTTCACGCGGGAATTACATTTAACTTCAATGCAGCCGGTCGAAAAAACAGAAGTGTGTGTGTGTATTTAATTATGGCAAAGCACACTAGGGCTATCTGCCTAAGAGGAGGATGTTTTCGTGGAGGACTTTCTAAGGGAAACTGGCTCGTATACACGTTACACATGGGGAAAGCCACGAAAACACCCATGCCGCCGGCCTGTTCGCGGGATTCGAACCTCGGACCGAACTACCAGTGTTCAGCGACTTTACCGCTCGGCCGCTGGTGGGCCCCGAAAAAACAGAAGAAATGCTAGTGAAATCTACACTTTCTGCAATAGATACGCATTTTCCGGTTCCTGATGATTCCGGATTACGCCCAAGTCCATTATTGCCATTCCAAGTTCAAGCCTTAATAGAAAATGGTCCTGGATAACCTGGTTTCGAGTTTCGGTTTTCCAAAAGACAAAAGTGGACGTAAATTTTTTCAGATGTATTTTATCGAATCTTGCCACACAACGAAAGGGTTAAAAGATTGCTAAATTCTGCTGAAAAAAATTTTGTTTATTGTTTCAAAATTTTGAACAGTTTCAGCAAAGCAAAACTGAGTAGTTCTGAATTTAATGAATGGAATCACTTAAATGAATACTTAAAACTTCATGGAAAAATAAATAAATAAATAAAATGCATTTTCGGAATCTACATCTTTGGTCCGATTTCTTAGAACGATTAAGAAAGAATAAACCTGTTGATTCGGAACTTCCCAAAATTTATTATATATATAAAAAAAAAAAAAAAAAAAAAACTAAGCATTGGCGCGATGTTATTGAAAGAATTATCTATGCCATTCAGTTTTTAGCCAAACAAAACTACTTAGCCTTTCGTGGTTCCAGTAACAAGTTATTCAAAAGAAATAATGAGTTTTTAAAGTGTATAGAAATGATCACAAAATTTGACCCTATCATGTCTGTATAAATTAATAAAATTCAAACTCAAAACAGATATGCTTCATTACCTAGAAGATAAAATTCAAAATGAAACAATTAGCTTATTAGGGGACAATATAAAGCAAATTATTTTAAGTAAGGTCAAACAGGCAAAGTATTTTTCTGTTTTACTTAATTGCACCCCTAATGACAACCATCAAGAGCAGATATTAATTTGTATGAGGTATCTTAATTTAGAAAATACAAACATGAGTATTGAGGAAAGGTTTTTAATATTTTGGTGTTACAACTGATACGACCAGTGAAGGACGTGGGTGGGTGTGTGATTATGGCAAAGCCTCGAGGGCTATCTGCCTAAGGGGAGGGATGCCTTCGTGGAGGACTTTCTAAGGAAAACTGGCTCGTATACACGTTACACATGGGGAAAACCACGAAAACGCCCATGCAGCCAGCCCGTTCGCGGGATTCGAACCTCGGACCGAAATACCAGTGTTCAGCGACTTTACCGCTCGGCCGCTGGTGGGCCCCAGTGAAGGACGAACAACATTCTTATTAAAGAATATAGTGGAAAATGGTTTTGTAATTTAAGCGGCCAAAATTACGACAATGGTTCAAACAGGAGAGATAAACAGTTTTCGCGTAATTATGCTCAAATCGTTGCTTTTCCGAATTAAAAAGTTAATCTAAGTTTAACATAATATGTAACTGCACTTACCCTTTTTTATGTAGAAAAACAATAACAAGCAATCACAAAAAAGATAAATGTTGCACAAATTACTACTATCGCAACAGTAGACACAAAATAAGGATTAAGCAATTTGTCGATACGTCTACCCTTACATACCCATCGGCATCAAAATAAGACAGAAGAGAACACCAGAGACGAACTCCTGCTCTGGTTATAACTTTCGGTCAAATAAGACAAAGTGCTAAGAGGAAGGGGCACTCAGATCTGGCAAGCTCGAGGCTGCCTTAACGCCTCAAGCCCTAGAAGCGATCCAAAAGAACACCAGAGACGGACGAACTCCTGCTCTGGTTATAACTTTCGGTCAAATACGACAGTGTGCCAGGAGGAAAGGGCATTCAGACCTGGCAAGCTCGAGGCTGCCTTAACACAGTTAAACGCCTCAATCCCTAGAGGCGATCCAAGACGCCGTTAACCATCGGTCGAGACGACGAGCGAAGACTACGCTGAGTCGACAGGAATACTCAGCAACTCACATTTCACGTCCCCGTTCTGGAAGTATGGTAGAAACATCTGCCATCAACAGGGGTCTCAACCCTGGAAAGCAGAACGAAGTCACTTAAACACTGTCAGACAGACCGGGCCACCAATCCGGCCCTACTAACACTACGTCATGGTATACAGATGTCGGTTTTAGGCGCCCACTGGAAACCCCAAGCATTTTAAAGGCTTGCTGAATTCACCTACTGCACCGAATGGGATGTTTTGCCCCGGTCAACCATAAATATATAGCTCAACTACAACCAGCGGAACAGAGGAGAACGCCATATGGTTCCTGCCGAGCCTGAAACAGCCATCGCTAGCGATGACTCCAGTACTGTGGAAACTGATTTTAAATAATCGTGGTCGAAACTGCCTAGGTACAGATCCTAATCAGTAG